TCCTCCAGGACTGATCAGACTAATCAATCTGAAACCTGACTGCATGAGGTTTAGCTATAGGTGACCTAATAAACTGATGGTGTATATAAACATGTAGAGGAAAGTGAGTGTGTGTGTGTGTGTGTGTGTGTGTGTGTGTGTGTGTGTGTGTGTGTGTGTGTGTGTGTAAAGGTTAGTGTTTGTACCACACACTCAGAAGCATAGCTTTATTTTGTCACCAGAGAGAAAGAGTTTCCCCAGGCTGCAAGTAAAGGTTGTCCGGACAGAACTAACTCAACACACAGGACCTTGAAATGTGCATGAGTACAGCAAATGTAATGACAATGGAAGAAACATAACTTGAGATCTGCACATTGCTCATTTCATGACAACATTTTACTAATTTCAACTGTTTGTAGTTGCATTGAAATTATTATAGTAGTATTATGCCTGTTCTAAACCTGTTTGTAATGGACTGTTCTCTTGTCCAGTGTTAATGCTCTGGAGCTACAGTACTTCAGAATTATTCCTTGTCATTAGTGAGTCCTCTCCAAACCGTTCTACATTAAACTGTCACTTTGTATTGTTTGTTTGCATGGAGCATGTCTCCAAGGCCGGACGTCACATGCCAATCAGCTGCATGGGGAACGCCCACCAATTTCAAGCCTCAGCCCTTCTTCAACAAAAGCGTCCAAGAAAATGGAAAAAATACTTTAACATCATTGTAGTATGTATTTATGTTTTTGATTTAAGTTAAAAGTTTTTGAGTTGAGCCTCAGACATACGATAAGACACATTTTCTTTTCAGCCTGTGGCAAAGCATGCAATCAGTCTCAAAATTCAAATATCACAGCATGAGATCAAAGAGCTGAGTAGTGATGTGGACACAGGGAGATGATTCATCGACTCAGTGACTGTCCATTAGGCGATGAATCAACATGACGGCACATGTGATGGATGTCAGGCTGCTGGTTAGTAGAGTGGATGCGTCTGTGACCATGCATGCATGGTGGGGGAGGTTAAGGGAAGGTGAAAGCGTGGCGGCTATGGTCGGTCACCCGCCACGGACACAACCAGTGACCGCACGTGATGATGTGGGATACTTACGAAGAACACGCCTCCCTCCACCTTCCGGGCTCGTCTCCCTGTCACCTTAGCAGAATGACAGTTGTTTTTTTTATTCATCAGATAGAAAACCCCACATCTTTTACTTTTCCCTCCAACAGTATTTCTGGCCTCTTATTATCTATGCAACATCTGACACATACATTTCCACACATTGTTTAGAAGCTATGAAAAGCGATAGTTGTAGAGGTTCCACACAGTCTGGTCAAAAATACTTTTTAAAGGGCTCCGTTTCCAGTGGAAATCACAGACCCCTCAGACACAGACTGTACGAGACCTTTGGTGCAGCTTATCCATTCGAGTCAGTTTACTCCATGAATAACATCTCACACACTTTGGGCTTGATCCACACTTCTCTGCTGTGATCTGATACTGGTAGTGTTAACTGCATGTCCTCTCTCAATGAGCCTCATCTCCACTGGGAGCGCCAGTGGTGGGGCTGGTATTTATAGATAGGTAAAAGGCCAGTGATGATGCCGACTGTTCAGGCCTCAGCAGATATGGTCACACAGGAGTGTGAAGGAACTCGCTGCCAGAAACGGTAATGTTAATGTCCCGGTTTCCCTGGAATCTATCTACTATGAGCTTTTAATCATATCTGTTTTCTCGCCCACATACACAAAGCACATCTAAAGGATTGCTCAGTTCATATAGTTAAGTTTTATTCAGTTTGCCATTCGCTGCAATAAAATGGTGCATTAGAGCCAAAGAAAAAAAATCGTAGATTTCAAGAATAACGTTATAATAATATGAGAATAAAGTTGTAATATTGTAAGAATAAAGCTGTAATGAGTATTACAAGAGTATAGAGTATTTTAACAACAGGAGATTAAAGTCATAATTTACTTATTTTATTGGGGGGGGGAGAGAATAAGTAAATAGAGCCCATGCTCACTGTAGTTTCCTAACTTATCGCATAGAATATCACACAGACAATATTGTCATTTTATTGCCGATGACAGACTGTTCTAATGATATTCCTCCACCTTATTCTTGTAATGTTACGACTTTGCTCTCGTAATGGCACAACTTTGTTCTTGTAAATATACAACTTTATTCTCATAATATTGCGACTTTATTCTCTAAATCTCTGAATTTCTTTACCTTTTAAGTGGCCCTAATACTCAAATGACGAGTGGTAAATGTATTACTTTATCTTCGTATATATTACCTTTTTCTCTTTTTACTTTTTTCTCATTATATTACATTTTTATATTTTATATTCTATTTTCATTCCCTTAATGTCAGACTTCTTTCCCTTCAAGTGTCTTGATACTGAAATGTTACCTGTGGTTGGCCGATTTGAGCAGCTCTAGAATGTTAGCTATACTTAAAGGTTCAGTGTGTAGAATTTTGTGACATCTAGAGGTGAAGTTGCATGTTGCAGCAGAATACCCCTCATGTCACCCTCCCCTTCCCCACATGACAGAGAACATATGGTGAACTTCAGTTGTCATGAAAACTCAAAAGGTTTTAGTTTATCCAGTCTGGACGACAGTAAAAAAAAACATGGTGGCCTCCACAGAGAGGACCCCCCTCCATGTAAATAGCAAGTTTTTAGACATAAAGGGCTCATTCTATGGTAAAGAAAAAAACAATTTACACATGAGTCTCACAATTTAGATGAAACACACCAGTGAAAACATCTCTAGGATTATTTTATATCCAATTTCTGCCAATAGATCCCTTTCACCTAAATCTTACACACTGAACCTTTAAGCTAACGATGATTCACTCTTCTGTCAGAATGGAAAAAAAAGATTTACTGCCTGCCTTACACCTGTTCTCCTTGTAGCTCACATCCTCAGCATCCCCCCTGCCAATCCTCCCCCTTCCTGAAAACCACCTTTGTTCCTTATTGATCTTTCACATTCCTTCTCTTGGGGGAGGCAGTTTTTCATGACAGGCCAATCATCCATGGAAATATATGATTATGGAAAGGAGGTGAATGCGGTCTCTTGATTTTTTTTGAGAAAGCAAAGAGTCAATCAAATATTCTTCGTTGAAATAAAGTTAAATTAAATAAAGCTCTTGATGCCGTATACATTTTCAGCCTATTTAATGTTAACAACCAGGAATCATATACTGTACGTCACAGTAAGAACAATGAAGAAGAATGATGTCATGAGGGCCACAGCTTGATGCTGCTCAGTTATAACCATCTCATAAGAATAAAATCCCTGTAATTTATCAGGTCCATTACCTCTGATGAATAACCACGTGCTCCACAGTAATGCTGTTATGTGTCTTTAAACTCTAAATATAGTAACTTTAACCCAGAGACGTATCTGTGCTCTCCATTAGACTCATATCTTCATTATGATAATGCACAGTAAAGCAGTAGATCAGGGGTATGACTGCCACATGGTTTAAGGGATGTTTACAATCTGAAAATATACCAGCGTGGTCACTAATCCTCCAGCAGCAGAGATTACTCAGCTTTTATCCACATTTAGCTCTCAGACCTTGCTCTCAGTTAGTCTCCTCACCAGTCTTCTCCTTACTCTCATCCGTTTTCCTCTTGTATCTCCCTCTTTTCTCTTGTGTATTACATTTCAGTCGTTCTCACTCAGAGATCTCTCAGTCCGGCCCAGCAGCCACCCCGCCCCCTGACATCCTGGAAAATGCGACTGTGCCCTGTGCAGTATGTTGACATCCTGCAGTGCTATAAACAGCAGCGAACTGTGCCAGTCAGTGAGTCTGGTTCTCTCTTTAATCATCAGATCAGATGCACGATAACCTTTCACATGCTGGAGTTGAGTTTCTAATGGAGGAAAGTTGCTGCTGAGAAGTTTGAACGATCAAACTGTTCTTCACAGAACAGAACAGCACCTAGAATGTCTGTTTAAAGAATTACCTCTTTGTGACCCTCTCATCTACCTCTATACAAGACTGTGCCATGCAGTTACCATGACACATTTAGATTTGTTGACCTGTTAATCTGCTGTGAATCTTCACACTCATATTGAAATACAGACAGGACATGTTTTGAAGAGTGAAAACATATGAAGGCCAAAAAAAATGACAAATATCCTCCCTAAAAACCCTGACATTAACTGCATTAAGATTAAACTTGTGTGTAACCATTAAACCAAAAATTCAAATTTTTCTCAGACACTGTCTCACCTTGCCTGACCCCAACCCTCCCTCCCACTGGCCCCATAGTTATAAGCTACACTTAAAGCTGCATGTGGACGATGTAAACATCTGAATGAGGAGGATGAACAGGGGCAGAGGAGAGAGGGAGAAACTTGTCGTCAGGTAACTGCTTTAACAAGAGGCCCTCGCTCCACGATGAGGTGGAACTTTCACACTATGACATATGAGCACAGAAAACAGTCAGGGACACTCACTGGTTTTGGCCTGGTGCCGAGGCCCAAGTTATCCTGATCAAACTCTTCCTTCTCCTCCCATGATCCTCTGCTGTCTCCGTTGGACGAGGGGGTAACTCTGAGCTCCTTGACCTGTCCGCTCATCACCTGCACCGGGTCCAGACTCATCTTCATCATAGAGAATCTTGTCTATGGCGTCTTCTCGTGCTCCCAAAGGTGCAAACTGCAAACAGTCCTGGCTGCTGATGAAGACAAATGTGTCCTCTCAGGCTAAAGTAAAAACAAGATGTGACCGTGGTGTCCCGCTACAGTCTCCAGCATTTATGGAGAAACTCCTACACTGACATGAGTCTCACCACAGACTGCTGAGCTTGCACCTGCACTGAAAGCAGCTGAAGTGTGGAGCGTGCTCAGTCTGCTGTCCACTCTGTGTCCTTTTCTCCAGGAGGATTATTGTTCTCTGCATCCAATACCAGAGCACATGAAAGACACTCACCCATTCACAACCATGATCCTATACACACAAACACAAACACAAACACTCCTCTGTTATTTGTCACACATACAGTCCGTCAGTGTGCAGCAGTCCATCTGCTGCTATCTCTGTGCCTCTCTCTTTCTCTCTCCACTCATTATCCCCTCTCTACCTCCCTCCAGCCCTCTGGGTCCCATTCAATCACTCGCTCAGCTTCGTCCAATCCCCATCCTGCCTCCGACCAATCACAGCCCTGCTTCCTTTTTCAGCGTGACCCTGCCCCCACCCCCCGCTGTCCCCTGTTGACGGTGCAATTTGCCGAAGAGGCTCATGGGATAACCAGGCACACACCAAACAACAAATAGCCATCATGATCAGCCATTTAATTTAGAGGCATTTACTAAGCACTGTTCTAAAACACAAACAAGAAACATCATTTAGAAATAAAAATGATATGAATATTTCAGCTCATAGTGGATGAATTTGTCTTTATTTTACCTCTAAATGAAAAAAGTTGGGATATGCAATGACAAGTTATTTGTCTTCTATAACAAAGTATAAGCTAAAGCAAAAAGTAACATGAATAATTAAGTTTTAAACCGTGAGGCTGTTGAAGCTCAGAGGGAATTGAGCGAGGGAGGCAGTTCTGAGAGGAGAGGAGTTCAATGGGCCTAAAGGTCGCAGATAATGGATGTAACCTTCATTTACAACCAAGGTTGTACAGCGAGTTAAACACGGGCCATTAGTGTCCCGTCCATGTGACTTCACGTGTTTTAACCACAGCAAAAATCACACATGCTTTAGCTGCAAGGCTGATGTGAGGACACAGCGAACAAAGAGCGAACATGGCGCCGAACCTCTACGTTCACTTCCCCTCTCCGCCTCGTGTGGGTTAGTTTTATTTAATGCATTGTTCTCAATGTGTTGGTTTTACTGCCTAACAACACCACTGATCTATGGAACACCAGTATGAAAAAAAAACATGTACAATTGACAATCAAATGATAAATCAAATGCTGCATCTAAAGAGCGATTGGCTCTCAGCGAGGCAACTTGACCGTCTTTAATCCGTCCAGACTTCGTGGGCCCTGTAAACCATATCCTCTGAAGGACGCAGCTCCTGAATTGAGACACAGTGATTGTGATATTATCTGAAAACCTCTGAATGATATTTCAGAATTAGAATCAGAAATACTTTATTTAACCCTTTACTTTGAAATGGGTTATGTTACAGAACTATACAATAACTTTGAATAGAAATACAAAAATGTAAGTAAGAGTGTTAGTTTAAAAACAAATTGTAAAATACATGTATACAAACAATACATTAAAAGCTTAATAAGAATATGTAAATGTATGTATCTGATCTTAATAATAATAATAATTATAATAGTAATCCAACAGAAATCTTTGACCTTATCTCCAAATTGCATACACATGTATCAAGTAGAGTAGTAGCACTAAGTCACCTTAAGATTTCATTATTCTGTCTGCAGCAATATTATTAAATATCAAACAACAATACAAAAGAAATCTCCCACCTTTGATTTGCATTTCCAAAGAATAAATGTGACATAAAATAATATTAATCCATTAACCAGAGGAAGGACTATAATACAGTAATATAAAACAATAACTTTACTATAGTATTTATGTTTGCAGTAGTAGTGTATATTCCCTGTTCGTCTGTTGCCCTCAGAACGGTAATAATACTCAAACACAAAATATTAGTTTCACTTTATCACTCTGGTGCAGTTCAGAACAGATTTTGAACGTTGACTCAACATATTCGCAAATAAATATAATCTTTATCTTTGTTGTGGAAATGTTTTACAATTCAGAATCAAGTGCTACGTTAAAAATCTGTTTTTTTTGTTCCTAGTTCAGGCTGAAAACTTGCTGATGGAGATTCGTACACTTTTATTTACTGAAATTGTTTTAAATATCACTGTAAAGACAATGTTGTTATTTAATTATGTTTTCATTTAAATCATTGTTGGTTGTTGTAGTTACTACAGTGCATGATTAGTACAGCAATAAAACTGTGATAATAGTAGTTGTAGTAACTGTTGTAGTGCCAGTGATTAATGTTAGATCAACCTTTCTTCGAAATCAACTTTATATAATATGATAGTGGCATGATGGGATGCTTATTATAAGTGAATGAATAGGAAAGAGATAAACATTCATGTCTTCACAATTTAAGAAAGTGTTGTCACATCAAATATTTCAAAAACGCATTACGTTGTAGTATTAGTGTAATGTTAACAGTAGTAGTAGTATCCGTGGTGGTAGCCGTGGTGATAGTAGCACTAGTAGTAACAGGATGTGGTGTATATCCAAATGTCAGCATCATTTCACCAGAAAATAAGATTGTTCTTTCTGCATTTTGTTTGTACACACACACACACACACAAGACTGTGATGAAAACAGAGCATTAGTATCTGTAGTGTGTGTCCCTGAGCTTGCAGCGCCATCCGGTGGCTGCTCTGCAAACTGCACCTCCTCACCGTGACCTCTATTGCTGCAGTGTGATTCACTGTTTCTCTGCTGCTCAGTGTGCTTTTGTGATTGTTTGGTTTTCCACTGAGTTGAAGCCTGACACACGCGGGCTCAGAATAGATTCATATTGATCGGTGATGAGCAGCTGGAGGGGGGTGCGATGGAAAAAATAAAAAAAAACTGGTTTAGTCCAAACAGTTTTAAAGGTGCCACATTGTATAAAGTCAGATTTCATGTATGTTTTTATTGTAAAGCAGGTCTGGGTGTTATATAAATAGAAAGACAGAATCAAGCTGTTTAATGCACACAGCATGGATCCACACAGTGTGTCTTAACATGAGCTGCTGCTTCTGTTCACTTTGTTATGTCGCTATCTCGCACCTCGGCCATACAACGCCATGCAGCCATGCAGGGTTTGGTTTCTGCAGATGTTTACCTCAAATCATTGTTAAAGACGGCTCAGGAGGCAGAGCGGGTCGTCCACTAACCAGAAGGTCAGTGGTTCAATTCCTGGTTCCGCCAGTCCTTGGGCAATATACTGAACCCAGTTTCCCCTGATAGTTTGGCTGAGTGTGTAAATGTTGAGTTGTAGAATAAGTGCTGCATATAGGAGCGCTGTATGATTGTGTGTGTGAATGGGGGAGTGCTATAAATCACTTTGAATTTTGAAAGCTCTATAAAAGTACAATTTATTTACTATATTAGTATTTTTCCAGCCTCTCAAACAACCTTTTCATTTCTCTTCTACTGATTATTGGATCACATTTGTCTTACTGTTTAAGTTTCCTGTTTTCTGTGAAACTGACTGAGGACCAGCTATTGTTGTGGCTGCATGTGTGGTGACTGTAAATTTGCAAATTTACAGTTAAGAGATAGTATCCAGAGAAAAAGGATAATCTGCTTCATGGCTTTGTAGCTGCTGCTTAAACAAAGCATTTCTCACATCTGCAGTCTTCCACTCTTACTGTCCCAGCAGTGTCCAATCTGTCTCATCACCCACCTTCACGATGTCCATGCTGATATCAGATTTTGCGGCCACGCACCCTCCTCGACGCCCAGTCTAGTAGTCGAGGAGTGGGGCCGGTCGTTCTCTGAAAGTGAGCTGGAGGCAGAGGTCACCCTGACACCACCAGATGATCCAGAGGTTTGGTCCAAGACCCAAGGCCCCAGGCTGTATGGTTCCACACCAAATTCAGGTGAAGCATTTTGGTTAAAAATTAAAAACCTATTTACTTCTGTTGGACAAAAACTGCTGTATTCTTGCTAAAATGATGAGATGTAAAACATTGAGATGTATTCTTGGCTCTTAAACACACTATGTGTTTTATGGATGTAAATACTTCAAATCAAAGTATAGGACCTTTAACTTAAGGATGAACACAAAACTGAAAAACAACATGTGAAAACATTGCTAAAATATCAAATCTTGATGTTTCTCAGTAGAAAGCATCCACTATTCACATATTATTCTCAAGGACTAAAACTGTTCTTCCTTTAACAAATCAAATGAATTGAAAAACAAATGTCTGTCCGTGCTTCTGTCCTTCATGCAAAGAAAATGGCTTGAAGTATTTGTATTGATTCCTGGAGTCAAGGTTTAATCTGCATGAGTCATTGTGTTCAACCACTTCTCTGTCCAGCTGAGTGAATGAGTGTCCGCAGATACCAGAGGGGAGAATTAATTTCCGCAGTCATTACATTTTAGTGTGAAGTGTGTGTGTGTATGAAAATGTGTCGTAACGTAGGTGTGCAAATGTATTGTGTGTGTGTGTGTGTGTGTGTGTGTGTGTGTGTGTGTGTGTGAGTGTGTGTTTATGTACTCTCTGTCTTGTAGCCTCATGGTGGTTACCATGAGAACAGCATGAGCGGTGACGTCACTGCAGCAGTGTGACATCATTTCTAGACAGTGACTCATCTCTTAGCTGACTGTGTGAAGATACCGGAGGACACACGAAACACATTCTCTCGACATTTAAGTGTTTTATTCTATGTAACAAAAATAATTACATTGTCTTTGTTCTAGACGCCAGTGACAGTAACAATATTGAAAAAACCAAAAGAAAACAAATCATCCGACCAATAGACATTTACATCAACGTCATAGAGAAATGTTGAATGATGAAATTCTATTGCACAACTGAGCACAAATGGTCCCCTGTCAAAAAAACAAACCAACAAGATCCATGTCAGCGTCCGTCCTGAACTCTCTGAGGACTGATGAGCTGCATCATATGTGATCAATGCAGACTCACGCCACGTCTGACTCCACCTGATTCAACCACAACACAACTCAGCCTTCTAACGTGACACAGTCCCATCTTTGGCACAAAACATCTGCAGAGTCAATGTTGTTAGTGGTTTGAATTGGATTCTACATGAAAAAGACAAAACAAAACAACGTTTGTGTCTTGGATAGGAAAATCAAAGCTAACGAGGAGGGACAGGATCTAATGAGAGGAGGAGAAGGGAGTTCAAAACATTGTGAAGCCACTTTATGAACCAATCTGTTCTAATCAAAGCTGTTTGGTGGCTGGAGCCTAAACAAGACAGTGACAATAATACACAGTAATGGAGAGGCAGCAAAACACATGGGGGACAAAAATATGTCCAATGAGTCTTTTTTTGCGTTCTTGTAGCTTTACTATGTCCACAGGCTAATCACTGATTTAATTTGTGTTCTTGGGTACGTAGTGAGCAATGAGATAAAAACAAAGTTGGTGATTATTTTCACACATTTGATGAATTTCTAAAAGGAAGAAAAAATCCTTTCAGCTGTTTATTCCAATGGTTCTCAATGCTGCATAAAACAGCTGTCTCTTTTGTGTTTTATCTCTACATGATGGTCTCCACTTAATATTTTCACCTTGACATACTTTCCATGAAAGCAATTTGATTTCTGCTTAAGTTTAGCCTCTTTAGTTTAGACTCATTTGTCTCAGTTACAAAGATCTGCATTTGTGCCACATTTACACTTATTACCCAGGTGCTTAAGGATGGACATGGTTAATGGACATGTTTTGTACAAAAACAAGCGGATGTGTAGAAGAAAACATTTTCCACTTTTTGAATTTGTTAGGAGAAAAGTAAGATGGCGAGACTGCATACAGCCTGATTAACCCTTGTGCATCCTTTTAACAAATTTACACTCAAATCCTAGTTTTTATGATTCAGCTTCTATTTGCTAAATGCTAGATGGTAATATTTTGTCACATCATCTTAAGGAGTGTCATTAGATCCACTTGCTCTCTGCTCATTTTGACATATGCGATCACAAACACATGCAAGTAGCTTGATAGCCTGTTGTAACTCATATACAGAAATGTATTGCATCTATGAGGTATAATGTATTATTTTCAACTGAGTTTGAAGCTGGCCTGTGTGCATGTGCATGTGTGTGTATATGCGTGTGACAGCGGGGTGATCTGCAGTCGCACCTCTATCTCTCTAAATGTAAACACACACACACACACACACAAATTTTATTTTTTCAATTCAGACATGCCACACTTTGACGTCCCTGGCTTATTGTAGGAAGTAGTCCTAAAGTTGATGGGCTCTTTAAATGGGTTCTTGGATATTAATCTTAAATTATCTCTGTGGTTAATGAGAGTGTTAAACACAAACGCTTAACATTTTATCTTATGACATTAAATAGATCCTTAAATACCAACGTGTTTAAGCTTTCACATTTCTTAAAAGAGGCAGTTGCCAACGAGTGGTTGGATGAGACTGACAAGGTTTGTTGGAGGCAAGAAAACCGGCTCACGACTCCATCTTTACATCCTCACGGTATTCATACTTGGGCTATTCCAAAGTAAGTTAAGTTTTAAAAAGAGTGACAATGAGGTAAACACACCTAATTTGAAACATCTGTTAGTTGAAAATACAAATTCCTTTGGGCCTACGGTGCTAAATCATACAGCATCAATAACCCAAGCGGACACCAGTACATTAGCATGTATTAGAAAAACAACTATCTGGTGGAAAATAGTGAAAACTAACATTTTTGTGGCAGGACTATTGAAAACCAAGAACCCAAAAACCTGACTTGATGCTATCATTGGCAGAAGGATCAACAAATTTGATGGGGTCATTTTTCCTGAGGGTAAGTGTCCACACTGACACAAATGCATTAACACAGCACACATGATTGAAAAAGTGAAAAGAAAGGATGCACAAGGGTAAAGTTGCTCATGTCATATAATGTCTTGATCTTCACATCACATGTAAAAAAAAGAAAGCTCCCCTCCACCCGTTACCTGTTGACCTGTCAACTCTGACGTCTGCTCGTGACGGTTACTTGTTAAAACTGCGACAGCAAACAAAACAACAAGAGCCATATGTGTACCAGCGGGCCACAGAAGCAAGTGTAGGTGTAATAATACTTCATTGTGAGGGTTTTCACTCACATCTTTACAAAGTTCAACCAGACTGAGGCATCTCTGTCACGCAAATGATACAAATACAAAACACATGTGACACTCACAAGTGTCACACACACACTGAGCGTTCACAAGCACTCACAGTTAGTCAGACTCACTCTGTCACTCTCTCTCAAGCACACACACACACACACACAGTAGTCGTCATATGAAATAAGGTCTAAGCTAGTGGTACATTTACATCTTATATTAGTTTATATTCATAAATACGATTACAGTTGTATTACAATGTACATGTAGTCTTATCGTTACATTATCGAACAAAGGGCCGTCGTTCTGTAGCTTTAGGGAGCGAGGGCTCTCATTGGCTGAGCGAGGAGGAGGAGATAAATCTGATTGACTGACAGGAGAGAAGTCAAATGCTTGATGAGACAGCTAATGCACTCAGAATAGTCTGTCCCAGTCAGGGCTACACGGAGGCAACCGGCTGCGTCATGGGCATAAATGTTCAGACATACGTGCTCAGGTCCTACCTGTGTTACTGGAGGATTCCAGTAGAGGGCACACCAAAGACCTCAGATTAGATTAAAGGTTGTAGAGCGTTTCATTCTATAATCAGACTGATCTTTCTGCCTCTTCTACTAACATGAACAAAGATCTCAGGCTGATCCACTTGACTACATAGAGGTTGTCATTAATTATAATCTACAGGCTGGGAATTTATGACTTTTGAGTTCAATGTACTTTAGTTGTCATCTTTCCTTTCCAGTCACAAACAGGTGACCACACACACAACGAACTTCCTCTTCAACCTTTTGCTCTTTTTCACATTGATTTTAGATCTAAGCTGAGTTCAGCAAAGTTCCTCTCCCTCCACCTATTATCAAAGAGCTTCCTCTCTGACATTTAGGGAGGAGGAAGACAAAAGGGGAGAGCAGGATTGTGGGAGAGAAGCAGGATAGACAATTATTTCAGCTTTTAATGGAGGCCGCTTTGGCCTTTCTGAGAAATACTGTTTCTGTCATCGCCCCTGTCCACATCGTTGTAGCTGGTCTTACAGAGGCCAGACCACAGTTCATGTTACTATGTGTGTTTTACCTATTTCAGTTACCAGTTGGTTCAGCTCTGCAATTCCACACACATCCTGTAGCTAAGATTTTGACAAATGTTAATTTTTTGTATAATATATATAGCTAAAGAAGCTACGATCCAAACTTGATCATGGATTGTAGCTCAGCCATTTTCAGAAATGCCCTGCCTTTCACAAATGCTCAACGCAGCAGGAGGTTCTGTGCAGACGCTGTCACATCAGCAACCAATCCTCTACGTTGTTCAGGTGAGAGTTGGAGCAGCCGGGTGCAGCAGGCAGAGGCAGAAAGGGACAAATTAATTCCACTGCGGAAATCAAGTGATCATTTTTACAGCAGCCCGACATCGTCGACTGTTATCGCCACAAACTCTCTTTGACATCTGCATCACTGTCCTCTGAGAGTCACCGCTTTTTCACAGGGAGATGTTTGTGTTCTTTTTTGCCTCTCTCGTGTTAGAAGCGTCATCAACTTCCCTACTCTCTTGTGGTGAATCCAACAGGATATCCCTGCTGCGTTCACACATCCAATTCTGCTGATTTTAGACTAGTTGGCCTGGTGGAGAAAGTTTGTATGTGAAACATTTGTGTTCCAGAAAATATGGAGGATCTGAGGACTTCAGTGCATGTGCATCTTTAGTGAGCCATTTCTTTTGAAAAATTCCAGCCTTAATATAAATAGACCAGGCACTGGCAAAACTGCATTTTTCTGCAAATAGTACATATATAATTTGAAGAATGTGAAGAAACTATAGTACAAATATCACCTAAGAAAAAAAACAAGGTAAGCCATGGGACATGTTAACCTGTTGGACTATCCAGATTATATAATGTCAGGGACATGGCTTTATTCTAACCTAATTACATGTGCCTCAAATTAAATGTGGAATCGTTTTGATAAGATATTGATTTTGTTCAGCATATGTGGAAAAGCTTTAGACGCAGCTAAGAAGCCACTGACCAACCCATCAGTATGCGTCACCATGCTGCTGGAGGCAGTCGTCTGAGACATTCATCACCTGCCTCGTACTTGGACTGCAAAGCATCTGAACGCCGTGTGGTAATCTATCAGAAACGCTCTCTGCAAGTGTCATGCAACTGGTGGTTGATTCTGCTGTTGAGGTAATAATAAATGAGACTGCACACACAAAAACACACACAGGGGGGTGGGGCAGTGTGATCTGACTTTGATCTGTGGGCAAATGTATTTTGATTGTGACATATTCTCACATTCATACATGCACACATTCATGGTGTTATAGACACTATAGCCATGTCTTAATTCAAGGGCTACCTACAAAGAGCTCCTTTTTGGTGGGCCGCGTAGATACCGTATCCCGCGAAGACCGCGAAGGCCGATCCAAACGCTCTGGTCGACAGAGGACTTTTTTGATCGAAGTCACAAAATCTTCCCACACTTATTGCTGTTGTCTAGCAACAGAGCCGCAGTCAGACACGCAACAGAAAGTTTTGATGCCCCTTGGTTTCTTGTAACATTTGCACCGTTAGGTGTTCGGTTGAGTTGAAGCGTGATTCTCAAATGTCGGACTTCTCGACGCTTACTAACGCCATCTTTGAAAAACATAATTGAAACACAATGAATCCTGGGATAGGTTAGGGTGAAAAGGATCCACCTGTTAGAGCTTTTGTGTTTCTGGGATGGAAGGACGCATTTGAAGGAGCCTTCGAAAAAAGACAGCCTAGTCGTGCCACTGTGATGCACTCACTTTTCAAATGCAGCCTCTAAAGGATGTGGCCCCTGAATTGAGACACAGCCCATGACAGACAAACCCACTCAAAGCTAATATTATTGTTCATTTAAATAACTCTCTGTACATCAATACATTTGCTTCTCTCTTGTCACTCTATGGGGATCAAACAGGCTGTTAGTTGATTTGATGCTATTCTTTTTTTCAGAATATCCCACAGCACAGCATTTAAAAAGTGTGTGTGATTAGAAATTGGCATTCTGGCTGTCAGAACTGAGACATTTAAGAAAATAACATAAAATGTTAGGGAAAGTTATATTTTGGTTGCTAATACACTATATTGTCACCGGAGCTGCTAGCCTTTAGTCCAAAGGTGTAAAAATAATTGGACAAATTCAGTAAAATCAAGAAGCTGCACTTTTACCAGCTGTTATTTCTTTGCCAGGAGCAATGATTTCCTTAAATCCTCGTCATTTATCACTGTGAGGTTGCCAGGCAACAGGTGCAGACTCATGACAACTGAAATAAGGCATTTCGTGTAAAGTCTCATAATGAAAAGATCTTGGAAAGGACAACACACCTTTTTGTATTGTACAGTAAAAGTACAGTATGAACTGTTAGGTAGCTGACATTTGCACTCGAGTCACCCCACAGCCTTGTAATCTCACATGCTAAGCAGTGTGAAAGAGTGAGTAGCACCTCTTTAGATTTTCTCTGTAAATTTCTCCAGCAGGAGTGTAGTACACAGTGGGATGGGTTGGAAGAAAAGAATGGCATCAATAAGCAGTCCATTATGTTCCAAATAAGGCTCATTCCTTGTCATTGCTGCCTCACAAAAGAAATCTTCCCTACCTCTCTTCCTCCTCCTCCTCCTCCTCCTCCCTCAGGTGCATCCCCCCTTTCTTCGCCTATCTCTCTGTTCTCATATCCTCCTTCCTTCGCTTGTTTCAGTTCAACTCTTCCCCCGTCCCCTCCCTCCCTCTGCATCTCCACCCATCCCTCTCTACTTCTGCATGTCACACTGAAGCAGTAGGACGATGGAGGGGTCAGACTTGGCGGCCTCTTTGAACTCTTCCAGGGAGATCTCATCATTGTGGTCCTTGTCCATCTTGGAGAAGATTTTGTCGACGCGCTGCTGAGGAGTCAGCCCGTCCTCATTCATACGCATCATGATCACCGTGCCCACCATCTTGTAGATGGCCTGCAGGTAGAAAGGGAAAAAAAATGATAAGCTTTGTCTGAACATCTTTAACTAACAGAAAGGATTCCTTCTTAAGGCACAAACACACCTCTATGATCTCAAGCATCTCCATGCGTGTGATCTTTCCATCCCCATCCAGATCATACATGTTGAAGGCCCAGTTGAGTTTCTGCTCGAAGCTGCCTCTGGAGGTGATGGACAGGGCACAAATGAACTCCCTGAAGTCAATGGTCCCATCACCGTTCTTGTCAAATGTCCGAAACGCATGCTGGGCGAACTTAGAGGCGTCACCGTATGGGAAAAACTGGAGTGTGGAAAATGACAAACAAGGCAACATAAATGGTGTGTCGGCTGAATTATGCAGCTCCTCCTAAATATTGGTGAAAAGGGAAAACAGTATTCATCACAGACTTAACATAGTCCTATTATACACTTATCATTTAATTAATCTTGATACATGTGTAGCCGTGTGATGTGCTGTTATAACCATGCTTGAAAAGGGCAGTATACATTTATTGAAAGTCCTAGTATGCTTATGCTGTCTTATGTATGTATAATACACACACACACATATAGATCACATTTACAACTCTACGCTCTATGCTGTGTTTTAACATTAGTAGTTTGTCTGAATATAAAATCAATTATCTGCATTTTTCATCTGTCTCACATGCGTCCACTTCTATTTTAATCAATCCAGGTGTCTGCACAGGCCACATGACGACTCATATTTGACCTGTACCGCCTGTAAAAGCATATTTTTACAGTCCAATTCTATTTTCCTGTGTTTTACATGTGTAACCATAGTGACTGTGTATTTTTTTATCTCCACTAAATGGTTTCATTGCATTTCTTTGCCTGTCGGCCTGTCTCTCAGCAGGATTGCACAAAAACAGCTGAACTGATTAACAAGAAATTTTGTGGAGGAGTGGAGCATGGACCAACAAAGAACGGATTTAATTTCTGAGTGGATCGGAATAGAAAGGAGGAGCCAGAAATCCGTTGCCACTTTCCTTAACATGGTGAGATAAGACGTGGTATGCATGCTTCAAGTGCCCTTCAGTGGATTATTATTTTATTTTACAATGCATCACTTGAATAAAAATACATTATGTATTGTTATTTTGTAATATTTTGACTTTGGAAACACAATGCATTGATTGAACTCAAAAGAAACACACATAATTTCACACCAATGTTAACAGATTAGAGTTTCACATGGAGATATGTTCTGTGCATGTCACGTCTTGTCTGGTAGTGTGACCCAGGCGTCATAACGACAAAACAAGAGCCTCAGTGCAAAATAAAAACGTGGGATAGTAATTATTTTATGTTGATTACTTTGTTGATTACCTCATTGCCATAATCGTAATTGTAATTGAAGTTCAGTCAGCCCTATTATGTATATTGATTATGATGTAGATGTCGTTTTAACCGTTATTTATTTGTCCCATTGAACTCTGAAAGTCTTACTGTGGACTGGGTCCATTCTATAAACCAGTCACATAATTTTAAGCAAGACATTTTTTTAATTTTAACCACATAAGGAAATAATGTTTCATTTAATTTACAATGATAAAATTTAAAATGTTCACTTAAATTAGAAGCTTCGAAATTAGTTTGATGGTTCTTTGGCTTGGAATTGAAGAATGTTTTCCACTTAAATTCCCACTCCTCACCCTGAACATCTGTTCTTGCTCTATATAAATTTGGTTTGTGGGTACGATCTCCTGTGAGAAGAGTGTAACTGTAAAAAAACTTAAAAGTCTTAAAAAACTGCTATTATCTCTGATATTCAGCCAGGAAACTTTTAAAATATCAAGAATTCTAAACAGAGTTTGGTGTATTTATAACAGCAGCAGCTCCTCTGGTTCAGGATACCGGGATCATGGGGAATATCCACCGTCCAGTTGTGTTTCAGTTCAGTGAGAGGGACTGCACAGTCAGAGCGTCAATCAAGAGATTGATTTGCTTTTTCTCTTCATGAAAACACATCAAGTGTGTGGACACGTATAACCAAACAGAATGAATCACCACATGTGGCTGCAGAGGGCGCTGTTTCCTAGTGTATGTTAAATAGTGTTGCTTTAATGGCAGGTCTGAACTGGGCCTCTGTGATTTGTTAATTCCCCTCCAAAGTCTGACAGTTGCTTGAGAGCATGTCAGTGCAAGGCAAGTGTTTATAGAAAAGTTATTGTTCTAAATTATTATCACCATTGTCAGAGCAGTAACAACAGATAACTTCTGAGCCCTTTAGATATGAATGAGAGACGATATTCACAATTCATTTAAAAATGTCTTTAACCCTTGTGCATCCATGAAAAATCAGTCCACCGCAAAATCTCCAGATTATTAATGTCAGGGTTTCATAGAACAACAGCTGGCAGTGTTATGGGCTCTATGGCTCCCCTCAATGCCTCGGAGCCACAGTAACAGCTGTCTATGTGACTACCAGACAATTATGAGTAATTTTGATTCATTTTACAATAAGATTCCCTTCCCTCTGCTTCTCATGCCCCCTCCTGCCCTCAACGTCAGCCTCACCTTCACATAGAGCTGCTGAAACTCCTCCAGGTTGAGGATGCCAGAGGGGCAGTCTTTGAGGAAGCCTTTGTACCACTGCTTGAGCTCTGCCTCGTTGAATTCAGTGCTCTTGGTCAGGTCGTCCAGGACCTCCGGAGCCAGCTTACTGTTGTGTTTGCCCATGACGAATTCACCTCTCTGGGGAGAGGGGGCAGAAAGAGGGAGAGAGAGACAGGGGGTGCATAAAGGTGAGCAGGTGAGAGACAAAACAACAGCCGCAGCGCTAATTTCCAGGTGCTGTTGTGTCACGACCAGTTTAGCTGCACAGAGATACACGCAGAGTAAAACTTGGACCCTTTACTCCTTCTGGACCCAGAATCTTGATCCAATCTCATTGTTTCTTGAGAAAATATGAAACCTATCCTCCCAGTCAACCACTCTCAAACAATTCCTCCTCCGCAAGAGGCAATTTCTTCAGAATTCTTTCTTACATAATCCTGATATTTATGATAGGGAAGGATACAGGATTTTCCTTTTTTTAAGATAATAAAAGGACATTTATTGATATTGCCATAGATTTCCCTCAGATGGATGTTGGCTGAAATGAATAGCTTCAGAGGTGCACATAATTTGCAGACCAACGATACAAAAGGTCTTTCGATTTCCATAACTACTCATTATATTCTACCTCTCCGATCACCTTATGTGAATACAAGTCTGTGATTTGCTGCTATAGGGGCCATAAACTGGCCTATTACCCTGACTCCTCACCACGCACACAGCTGGGGAGCACTGCAGTGCCTTCATGACGCCATCGCTGACTCACAGCCCTGCCTGCCAGCGTTCGCACTTTGACACCAGGACACAGCCGATGCAGCCGAGCTAAACATCTACAAATCTTCCTCTAAATTACAGAATGAGTGTGCGAGGCAGTTTAGTGGCTGAAGTACATCCTGTCCTGCTTTATAGCGAGTGAGTTATAGAAAAAGGCAGCGAAACCCCAATTCACGGAGAATTGCACAAATATTTTTCTTAACTTTCTGTGACGTGGGAGCACCGAGAGCTTAGAGTTTGTTTTGTGAATCTAACATCACAGGAGAGAGGTCGTTGTAACTTGTTTAGAAAAGGTTGTCTGTGATAGTATGAAGCTGTAACACTGAAATAAATGTTTCCCTCATCTCAGTTGTAAATAGGAGGAGAGAAGTACCACAGGAAAATGAGTTAATGTTCCTGTAAAATAGATGACACATAAAGGTGCAATCAAACGGTCACTGCTTTAAGAAACTGAATGAGTCAGCTGGGAGTTCACTGCAGTCCTGTTAGAAATGAGCAACTCAAACATCGTTGTGCTTTTTTCAGTAGCTGCAGGAGAAAAGCTTTTACTTTTACCATGTTTATAAACCAGCATGAGTCATTACTTAAAGGGTTGGGCAGTGATTAGCCCATATTGGCTTCTCCTTTATTTAAAGAAACTGTGCCCATTTTATTAACATCAAGAAAATCTAAGTATTTTGTATATACTAAGGTTTCTATTTGTTGAAACAATAATTTATTTGTATGATTCTGCCTTAAGCTACAGACACTTGAAATGAAAGTTTAACCATAATCACTGAAGGCATTCACTCAGGTCGCTCTGTAAATCACTCACTGCATCAAGAAAGGCACACACACCTCATGTGCACCAAACAGTGAGCTTATTTTGGCTCAAACCCTCCTGAGATCCCCCGCACACACACACACACACACACACTCACACACTCACACACACACACTCACTCCACGGAGATCTAACATTGTTTCTTGCCTCTGACTGAGGCAGATGAGATTTTATCCCTCTATTAGAGAAGTAAATGTAGCAGATAATAGAGTTTCCTGTTGAAGATAGCAAGAGGCGCAACCAGCCAGGCGAGCAAACACATTGGAAACTTATCCCATTCGAAAGAATCAAAGCAGACACAGTTCACGCTGACAAGTCAGGAAACCTGTAGGTTCATTCTAATTGTTCCCGGGTCACACGCTGTCTTCAAGTCAGGTGCTCACATCTCTGCCAGCTCATCTCACTGAGCTGGAAATCTGTTAGTATTCAGTATTCAGGTGTTGGAGGTAATCTGGAGGTAACGCTGGCTGTTTTTCTCTCTAGAATTCTGCTGCCTTTCAGAGCAAATAAATCAAATCTCTGGGGAGTCAAAGAGGTCTATTCAGGAATACAGATTAACTGGCTGCAATGACATTTTCTTATTGTGGCTGCTTCTGTGAAGGTGATGCCTATCTGAGGGTATGTGCACATACAAGTGGATGGACAAGTATGTTAAATTAGGGTATGCGTGGATGTAAGCTATCACAGGTAAATAGGTATTGCTGTATATGTGACAGAACATGCAGAAAAAGGTATGGGATCATTTAAGGGCTGTCACTTTTCCAAAATGATTATATTGAATGAATTTAACTTTAGAAGATGTTTGAATGTATTTGAATTGTTTGGAGTTAGGGGTTAGGGTTAGTCTGATGAAGATGGTCCGATTGTCTGTGGTGCCTCCTCCGCTGCCTCACTTGGCCGAAAGAAGTGAGCCCACAGATTTGTTATCCTTAGAGATTCTATAAGCTGCTTTGTACAAAGTGGACAAACAGCCTAATCTTTGTTAATTACTTGCGATCAAAACACTAAACACAACCCAAGTTGGATCTGCAATCCTTTTCAATACTTGATGTTGGTAGTAAAATGTTAGCTATTTTCATCTTCAACTCAAAAATTCCAATTTTAGTCTTAGCACCATAAACCCATAACAGCCTATCAAAGGAACAAATCCCAGGAGGGAGCCCTTTATGCTCTCTAATGACAATAACACACAGTCAAAGTCACGCTGCTCATTCCAAGCCATCTGGAGCGAACATAAATCTTAATTCCCTAAATGCTGCAATTTACCTAAAATATACAGCCTGCTCTGCAAAACTCCCCAAAGGGGATCAATTGGCCCGGCAACACGCTGTTACTGTGCACAATGAAGTCTTTGACAAACTGTTCACATGAATACAAAGCAGACACAACCCAACATAGACATACAAACATCCCAGTTTCAACATGGGACTTCAAGGACATATTAGTTCCATCACACACAGGTTGTCTTGTACATTCCTGCACATATTAACACAATCATAAAGTGACATGACAACGTTTGAGGGGAAAAGTCACAGCGAGAAAAGATGAGAGATGCTCTGAGTATAAAAAAAAACGAGAGGGAAGGATGACTCAATCTGGATTTACACCTCTGAGGGAGAAGACAAATAGACAGGGAGATACTAGACTCGGAGTGAAAGGGAAATGAAGATGGAAGGACGGAGAGAAATGGGAGGCAGCAGGCAGATAAGCAGGGCTTGTAGAAAATTGTCCCAGCAGGCGTTGAATAGAGGAAGACGTGTATCTCACTGAGTCTGAAGGGGCCTTAACGCATGTTCATTCCAGCTGTCAGACTGATAGGAAACACAAAGTCTAATCTGAGTTGTAAACGCGTGGGAGACTGTGAGTGCCGTGTGTCACTGTGTGTATGTGCATGTTCCAGTCCAGTTTGATGGGGATCTAGCTGATTGGACACGCTAACATGTTTGCGTGCCGGAGTCAGTATTAATAAAGCTTACATTTTCATGACTGTTTCCTCAAACTCATGGAATTCCCCACTCTTGGATAACACAAGTGCTGTAATTCAACAGCAGCGGTTCTTTAGAGTGACTTCAAATCACTAAAATGATTCAGCTGTTGGACAGTGTCCTCCCAAGAAGAAAGACAGCAACAAAACGTGTTATTGTTCAAGTGACACAGCTCTCTATGACCATAGTCATTAGGAAGAGAGCCACGGAGGAAGTCAGGTGATGCTAATACAGTTTCTGACACATTTATGAATGAAAATCAGTGTGTGAATCTAAAAAATGATCTGGTTTGGTGACAATTCTGAAACCTAAGTTGGCAAAATACACAGATCAGCTAAGCTCTAATAAAGCTGTTGTGCCTCTTTCTTATTAGCGCTGACCGCTTCCTTCACCAGGGAAATGACAATCGTCTCCAGCAGCAGATCATATTGGTCGTCAGTAATCCACCGTCATTCCACAAGTGAATTGAGACCAAATTAAAACTTGGCTGTAGCCTGTTTATGAACTAAGCAACTGCTCTGTTTTACCACTGCAGAGAATAGTGTAATTGTTCATCCAACAAATCCAAGAGAATGAAATGTCTCTCCAGAGGCAAAAATTCAGGTGTCATCCTCCCAGTTAAATCTTTATTCATGTCATCGCAATAGGGTTGAGTACTGAAATAACAAAGCCCTTCATATCATTGACTGTCATGTTGTGCTTGTTTTTAAGAAAAGTGTGTTGGTTCTGGCACTTTTTATGCATGAGTACCATTTTCAAAGAATCAATTTAGCACCAGTACTATTCCCAACCCTTCAAATCAATATTTAAGAGGGTCAGGTTTGTAGTTTAGAAACAATCAGTGTCTCCGAAGTATGTGTTAGATTCCCTTTTACTCAACATTTAGATTTAGATTCATTGTCACTAGGTAGACAAAGGTTTTTTAAGCTAATTTTTCCACCCAAACTGTTAATTGTTCCCTTATCTAGACGTTTTTGTGCCAAAACCTGACCAAACCATAACCCTGCCTTGTTTTTAAACACAGAGCTGCTCAGACGGAGACGGACAAAGGCCACACACAGCAATGACAACGTTACCTCCCTGGTGGAGGTAACAAAGATTTATAACAGCTTTGAAAGGCACCGACAGATGACGTCATCCTGCTGACAAACACTTCACTGTGTCAATCTAGAGGACGAACAACAAATGTTGTTGTTTAATGTCGAGGAAGTGTGGGCCACAGGTAACGGAGGGGTGATTTGCACAATAATATAAAAATTATTATGTTGTAACTTTCTACAGAGAGAAAATGAACAGAAAAATACTGCCCCCCTTAGGTGCAGTACAATCTTTTCTGCCAAATTATTTGTGTTAATGCAACTACAATATATTAATACTATAATAATAAACTATACTCTCCACTCTCCCCTCCTCTTCCCTCACCTCTTTTCTTCCCCATTTCTTTCCTCTCACACCAATTGGTAGAAGCCCACTGCCACCCACACTGTGTCCACTTCTGCTCCAGGTTTCTTCCTGTTAAAGGAGTGGTTGTTCATTGTGGGTGTGGCTGGGCAATA